TCTGTCAGCAGGTACTAGCCCATGGACCAGAGGTTGGGGACCCCTGCTTTAATCCATCCCTTTCAGATGATCAGAATTCCAGTCTTAAGAAGAATGAACACATCCAAACTGAGATTTCTTTCTATGTATCTTGTTCACCTTTTAAATGTGTATGCTCAGCCATATCCAACTCCTTTGTGCCCCCATGAACCATACAGTCCGTGGAATTCTCCAGGGCAGAATACTGGAGTGGGTAGCTGTTTTCTCCTCCAGGAGATCTTCACCACCCTGGGATCGAACCCAGGTTTCCCACATTGCAGGCAGATTCTTTATCAGCTGAGCCACAAAGGAAGCCCATGGTGGGAAGCCCTTGGTTGGAAAGGAAGCTAAAGTAAAAACAGAGGTAAATAAAATCCAAGAAGAAAGCCTTCTATATTGACGGCTCAGGATGAGATGGTGGGATGGCATCATCAACTCAATGGACATGAGTTTGAGCAAACTCTGGTGATAGTGAAGGACAGGGAAACCTGGTGTGCTGCAGTCCATGGTGTTGCCAAGAGTCAAACACAACTGAGTGACTGAACAACAACAACAGCCTTTATACCTGACACCTAAAACTGTGTTGGACACACACAAAACAGGAATGAGCAAATTCAGAGTGACTCATGAACAGTTCCATAGCTTGGTAACATGACAGTGCAGCTGCAGAAAACCTAACGATCAAATCAACCAAGCAGTGGCAGAAGGACAGTCTACCACTTTACTCCTAAGACATATATGATGGTGATTTATAAAGTAAAGGTCCAAGGCATTTTTTGCATGAACAACCTCTAGTTTTTCTGGCTACATAACAGCTAATTTTTTAAAACCATTGATTTCATTGAAGACAGAAGTAGTTCAGTTTGAAACAATCAGACAATTTTTATGTTAAGTCAAAAAAAGAAAAAAAAAAAAGAGACAGACAGAAATGGCTTATATAAAGAGGGAATGAGCTTATCCTCAACAATTTATGAAGCTGAGTACCATTGTCATAAAGTCCTTGGCAAAGGACTTCCCTGGTAGTCCAGTGGTTAAGAATCAACCTGCCAATGCAGGGGACACTTACTTGTCTCAGGGCAAGTGAGCCCGAATGCCTAAAGCCCATGTTTTACAACAAGAGGAGCCACTATAATGAGAATCCTGGGTACCACAGAGAAGAGCAGCCCTTTCTCACTGCAACTAGAGAAAGTATGCATACAGTAACAAAGATCCAGCACAGCCAAAAATAAAACAAACTAATTAATAAAATAAAGGACTTGGTGCAGATACTGGGCCCTGTTGTCCATGAATTCTATTTCTTAGAGTCTGGAACACAACCTCACGAGTACAGTTGAAGCAATTATCCCCCTCATCCTGCCTTAGCTGAAACTTGCCTTCTGGCATATCTTATGAAATCCAATTCCAGTTATTGAAACAGGAGATCTATGTTTCTGGGTCCCAGCAGCAAGGCAAAAAATCACTTTGCCTGTCCACATTTGCTTGCTACCCATAAGAAGGAGGAACAGAGAACTCAGGCAACCCTGTGAGAGGTCATGTCTCTCCCTACTGAGTAATCACATAGTCTACCATAAAAACTGTAAACCTATGAAACACAAAGAGACCCACAGACTTTGGTAATTCAGAGAAGTATGGCTACCCAAAAGGTGGAAAGAGGAGGATGTCAGAAAGGGAAAGTTAGGGAGTTTGGGATGGACATGTACACAGTTATATTTAACATAGATAAACAACAATGACCTACTGTACAGCAAAGGGAACTCTGCTTAATATTCTGTAATAACCTTATGATTATCTATGGGGAAGGATGGGGAAGGGCATAATAGGGGAGTTCAGGATGAACATGTACACACTACTGTATTTAACATGGATAACTAACAAGGACCTACTGTTCAGCACAGGAAACTTTGCTCAATGTACTGTGGCAGCCTGGATGGGAGAGGAATTTGGGGGAGAATGGATACATGTACATGTATGGCTAGGTCTCCTTCTGCTTCAACTGAAGCTATTACATCACTATTCCCTGACTATACCCAAACACAAAATGGGCTTTCCAGGTGTCCCAATGGTAAAGAATGCACCTGCTAATGCAGAAGATGTAGGTTCGATCCCTGGTTTGCAAAGACCCACTGGAGGAGGGAGTGGAAACCCACTCTGTTATTCTTGCCTGGAGAATCTCATGGACAGGGGAGCCTGGTGGGCTACAATCCATGGAGTCACAAAGAGTTAGGCAAGACTGAGTGACTCAGCACACAAAACAAAATAAAAAAAGTTTTTTTGTTTTTTTTTTTTTTTTTTTTTTTTTTAAAGAAGAAAGAATTGTAATCCCATTAGGGTGGCACAAGGCACTGACCACTAACGGATGCTTTACCCACCCTGGCCGCTTATAGAGGCAACTTCCATAAAACCACAATTATGAGAGATCTTTCATGCATCTCTAAGTGTACTGAGGATCCAGTGTTAATAAAATGTGTATGTGAGTGTGTGTGTGTGTGTGTGTGTGTGTGTGTGTGTGAAGTTTCTCAGTTGTATATGACTCCTTGTGATCCTATTGACTGTAGCCTACCAGGAATCTCTGTCAATGGAATTTTCCAGACAACAGAACTGGAGTGGGTTGCCATTTCCTTCTCCAGGGGATCTTCCTGACCCAGGATCAAACCCAGGTCTCCCTCACTGTAGGCAGATACTTTACTGTCTGAAGCACAAGAGAAACCATTTATATATATATAAATGTGTGTTACACACACAGTGCAGTAAGTAGAGTAAGAGACTTACCACCATACTGGTTGTTGCATAAGACTGTTAACAAACTGTGGGCAAGCTCTCATGGGACACAAAAATATTCTCTCCTTCTCTCTTCTCTGGATTATCTCCTTTCTTTGCAATTCTGTGCCATCTACCTGGGCAACTGGCTGGGTTTTCTAGTCTTGCTGTGAATGTTTCTATAAGACATCAACTTTTACACAATTTCCTTGAACTAGTTGTTGCTCTTCAGTCAGTCGTGTCCTTTGTGACTCTTTGTGTATCCTTTGTATCTTTTCTGATGGGGTCACAGAAAGTTTTTGACCCCATGGACTGCAGCACTCCAGGCTTCCCTGCCCTTCACTATGTCCTAGAGTTTGCTCAAACTCATGTTAACTGATTCAACGATGCCATCCAACATCTCACCCTCTGTCGTCCCCCTCTCCTCCTGCCTTCAATCTGTCCCAGCATCAGAGTCTTTTCCAATGCGTCAGCTCTTTCTAGCAGATTGCCAAAGTAATGGAGCTTCAGCTTCAGTGTCACTCCTTTCAGGGAAGATTCAGGGTTGATTTCCTTTAGGATAGACTGGTTCCTTCTTGCTGTCCGAGGGCTCTCCTCCCAGTGAAGCACATGTCCACAAGCTCTGCCTCAGGCCCTGCTTCCTCGGGATCTACACATATTTCAGTTCAGTTCAGTTCAGTTCAGTTCAGTCGCTCAGTCATGTCTGACTATTTGCGAACCCATGGGCTGCAACAAACCAGGCTTCCCTGTCCATCACCACTTATGGGAACTTGTTCAGACTCATGTCAGACACAGACAGGTACGGAAAAGAGGCATTTTCTCGGACTTGAAAGGAGACTTCTCCTGGAGAAGGTCCAGGATTGAGATCACCTGTTGCTAAGAAGGAAGAGCTACTTTACAACTGCTGGTGAGTTGCTATTCAGCTGCTCAATCATGTCTGACTATTTGTGAACCCTTGAAAGGCAGCACACCAGGCTTCCCTGTCCTTCCCCAGGTAATGCATCAATGGAGGTTACCTTGCCCAGAAAACGGCCTCATAATAACAAATGTTCTCACTGGTGGCAAAGTGCCATCAATGATGGGGTAGGGACAGATATATTGCTTTGGGAGGTCTTGTGGATGCTTCCCTGAAGGGCAACGAGAACCAATGTTTACTGGAAGGATTGTATGGTGGGATGTCTGTTTTCAACAGGGCTTCCCTAGTGGCTCAGTGATAAAGAATCTGGTAGCCAATGCAGGAGATGCGGGTTCGATCACTGGGTCAGGAAGATCACCTGGAGGAGAGAACATGGCAAACCACTGCAGTGTTCTTGCCGGAGAATTCCATGGACAGAGGAGTCTGGCAGGCTACAGTCCACGGGATCACAAAGAAAAGGATACAACTTAGCAACTAAACAACAGCTGCTTCCAACAACATCAGAAACCTTGCAGAAGGAAAATGAGCTGAGGGTGTCTCACTGTCAACTTACAGCAGACCCAGAAAGCCAGGAGTTTGCCTGCAAAAATCCAAGGAAGATTCTCTAATCTCCTGCAGTTGTAAGAAATTAGGAAACGGACAGGTAATGAGGATGCAGATAGCAGAGTTGACCTGATGATGACAGTGGGCCCCAGATGAGGAAAGAGTGGCACCAGTGTCCCAGACCAGCATGAGGGTCCCAACACCTGCAATGTCCCCAGTACACTGCCACATGATACTGTGACCCCAGTTCTTCCTCAACCATGACCACAGCTGAAGGAGGTAACTCTGAAAACAATGTTTCTCAAGATGCACCCCCTTCTTTCTTTGAGTTCCTGAGACCTGTGATTTTCAAACCTGAACCCACAGAGCATCAGATGGAAGGTGAATTAAATCATAGATTGCTAAGTTTCTGATTCATCCAGGCTGGGTAGGGTCCTGAGAATGTGAGCTTCTAAGATTTCTTGGGGGTGGGGGGGTGGGGGGAGTGGGGCAAGTCCCTCCTACTGGTAGAGGGACTGCCCTTGGAGGAAGCATTGCTTTGGGTCTCTCTCCTGGTCCCATTACACAGGTGGGACTGTAGGAGCCCTTCTCCATGGAAACAGACAGTCTGTGTCCCAGGGTAGCTGCAGATAAGTGGAGATGAATCTTAAGACTGGGAGTCTCCCTGATGGTCCAGTGACTAAGACTCCATGCTCCCAATTCAGGGTGTCCAGGTTCCATCCCTGGTCAGGAAACCATATCCCACAGGCTGCAACAAAGCACTCACATGCCTCAGGAAATCTCAAAGCTCCCAAGTGTTGCAATTAAGATCAGGTGAGGCCACATACATATATAAAATATATGCATTGTTTTTTAAAACTCAACATTGGGATGGAAGTAGAGCATGGCAGCACTCACACAGGCCTTGGGATTTCAGATTCCAGGGGACATTCAGAGCTGATCCTGTGTCTAATGGGATGGGGCTAGAAGAGTGTAACACAGAATGTACACAGAAATGACTGTAGCTAAGTAAGGTAGAGTGGCCAGCTACCAGGGTAAAATTGAGAGTGAGGTGAGGGGAAGGGAGCTTCAGCTTCTACAATGAATTGGCCCTGAAAAACCAGATACCCTGTACTTTGTTCCATAAGGAGGACTCTGAAGGCCTCTCTTCATGACAGCACTAAGGAATGCACAGTAAGAGGGTGTTGGCATAAATCATTAACTACTCATTGACTGTTTACCTGAAGTCAAGGATGCAGAGCCAATGGTGTAGTCACACAATTCAATTACCCAACAGTGAAGCTATCCATTGGATTTTGGAATGCCAGAGGAAACAGGCCAGCACTTGGCTTTCAGAAACCTCAGTCAGTCAGTTCAGTAGCTCAGTCATGTCTGACTCTTTGTGACCCCATGAACCAAAGCGATCTAGGCTTCTCTGTCCATCAGAAGACTGGTGAACCTAATTACTGCAATTGGCTTAGACCAAGAGTAGCAGGTCTTCCCTGATAGCTCAGATGGTAAAGCATCTGCCTGCCATGAGGGAGAACCAGGTTCAATTCCTGGATTGAGAAGATCCCCTGGAGAAGGAAATGACAACCCACTCCAGTATTCTTGCCTGGAAAATTCCAAGGACTAAGGAGACTAGTAGGCTATAGTCCATGGGGTCGCAAAGAGTTGGACATGACTGAGCAACTTCACTTTCACACTTCAGAGTTGCAGGCAACCTCTCTGACAACGGAAATCTGTGACTCATGGTTCACAGCAAGGCTATGATGTGTTTTGAAAATTTTTTCACAAAATTTTTCACTGTCAAGCAGAAAGCTGGCATCAGCTGCATCAGTAGCATAATCACAGCCTCTTACTCAGCTTCCCGAGTTAGGGAAACTCACAGACCTATAGCTCCCTGATTGAAGGAAAAAAACAAAAAACAAAACCCTGTAGTATGATTCCAAAAAGGCTTGGTAGGTGGCTCAGGGGTAAAGAATCTGCCTACCAATGCAGGGGACATAGATTTGATACCTAGGTCAGGAAGACCCCCTGGAGAAGGAAATAGCAACCCACTCCGGGATTCTTGCCTGAAAAATCCCATAGACAGAGGAGCCTGGCAGGCTATATTCCATGGGGTCACAGAGAGTCGGATGCAACTGAGCAACTAATACTTTTACATGATACCAAAATGCTTAGCCAACATTTCTGTGATCTTTCAATAGCATCCACAGATAATTGGAGAGAATGCAACACTCAAAAAATTTGAGGACTCCCAAGGAAGGTTTTTTGACCCAGTTCTTCTCTCAGTGTGTCTAATGGTTCTAGAGACTTCCCTAAGTTTCTCTCCCAAGTTCCCAAGTATGTAGAGTTGGGATGCATCTACTTACAGCTGGCACAGCTCTCACAGTGACTCTCTAATCTGCTATGTGAAAGGAAAACACAACTGAAATCCCCTAAATCAGCCAAAATCCTAGATGCATAAGAATAATACACTCAGCAGAAGTTGCAAAGGTTGGTCCATGATTTAAAAACTTGAAGGATGTTGAAGAAGTGAGTACCATTATAGTCCAGTTCAAATTACATCTCTAATCTATGCCAAAACCCAATGGGTCATAGAAAAGAAGTGGGAATCTCCATGAATTTAACGAGAGAGTAGCCAGAATGGGAGCCACTAACTCTAGAAAAGGTGTATTTAATGGGGCAGGTAGGAGTGATGTTGAGTATATTCCTTATGTGAACTATTCCATCATCAGGATGATCTAAACTATTGCACTTTCCCATGGTGACTCTCCAGTTCTCTCTGTCGTTTGATCATCTTGGCAATCCATGCCACATCACATCGGCCCACTATTCTAGGACATCTCATCCACTATATCTATGACCTCACACTGCTATATATGTTATCACACCTACCATATCTATGATCTCATACCCACCAGATCTACGATCTCACAACCACATTATCTATGACAGCACACCACTGTATTTATGACAGAAAGCTGTATTTATGCAGAAAGCTGGCATCAGCTGCATCAGTAGCATAATCACAGCCTCTTATTCAGCTTCCCGAGTTAGGGCAACTCACAGACATATAGCTCCCTGATTGAAGGAGCTGAATCATTATATCTGTGACATCACAACCACTGAATCAATGATATCACACCCACTCTTTTCATGACAACAAACCCACTATATCTGACATAATATCCACTATATCAGTGACATCAAAACCAACATATCTATGATCACACCCACTGTGACAATGATATCACATGAACTATACATATATATATATATGACATTATACCCACTATATATGATATCACACCCACTATATGTGACATCACATCCACTATATCTGTGACTTCACAACCACCATATTTATGATGATCACATCCACTGTATTGATAACATCACACCCACTATATTTGCGACATCACAGCTACAATATGTGACATCATATCCAGTGTATACAACACTGTACCCACTGTAGATGACATTACACCAGCTGTTTTTATGACATAATATCCATCATATGTTTCACATCAATACTATCTGTGATATCACACCTACCCTATCTATGATCAAACCCACTGTATTGTTGATATCACAACTATGTATGACAGCACATCCACTGTATATAACATTACATACACTATATATGTGACATCACATCCACTAGATCTATGACATCACACATACTATGTCTATGGCATCACACCCTCTGTTTTGTGACATCACACCCACTATATTTGTGTCATCGCAACCACCATAACTATGATCACACCCACTGTATCTATTATAGCACACCCACCCTATGACAACACACTCACTGTTTTCATTACATCACAGCCACTATATATGAAATTACATTCACTGTATCTGGGACATTGAACCCACCATACCTAGGATCACACCCAGTGTATCGATGACATGACACCCCCTATAGTTATGACACCATATCCACTCTATATGTCCAGCCTATATGACATAACACACACATTTCTATGATATTTTGCCCACTGTATCTACAACCTCACACCCAGTATGACCTCACACCCACTGTATGTGACATCACATCCAATATATAACAGCCACTGTATTTATGATATCACACTGATAGTTTATGACAAAACATCCACTATACATGACATCAAACCTACTATATATGACAACACAGCTACTATATCTATGATACCACACGCACTATATCTATGATATCTATGATATCCACTATATCTATGATACCCATTCTATCTATGAAATCACACTCACTATATCGGACATTACATCCACTATATCTGTGTCTTCACAACCACCACATCTATATTCACAACCATTGTATCAGTGGCATCACAACCATTGTATCAGTGACATCACAACCACCATATTTATAACATCACATAAACTGTATATGGCATCACATCTAGTATATATGACATCACACCCATTGTATATGATATCACACACACTTTTTTATGACAGCACACTCACTATCTCTGACGTCACATGCACTATCTCTGTGACTTCACAACCACCATATCTATGATCATACCCCCTTGATATATGAGATCACACCCACCATGTCTATGACATCACACCCACTGTTTTTATATCATGCCCACTATATTTCTGTCATTGCACCCACCATAATTATGATCACAACCACTGTATCTATGACTTCACACCACTGTATTTATGTTATCACATCAGCTATATATGATATCATATCCACTACATATGACATCACACCCTCTGTATTTATGACATCACACCCACTATATATGTCATCACATCGATTATATCTGTGACATCATACTCTATCAATAACATCACACCCACTCTATATTACATCACATTCACTGTATCTATGATCATACCACTTCCAATGTGTCTATGACATCACATCCCTGTATTTATGACAACAAATCTACTACATATGTGGAGAAGGCAATGGCAACCCACTCTGATACTGTTGCCTGGAAAATCCCATGGATGGAGGAGCCTGGTAGGCTGCAGTTGATGGGGTCGCAGAGTCGGACATGACTGAGCAAGTCACTCCACTTTCACTTTTCCCTTCCTTGTATTAGAGAAGGAAATGGCAACCCCTCTCCAATGTTCTTACATGGATAATCCCAGGGACGGCAGAGCCTGGTGGGCTGCCATCTTTGGAGTCGCACAGAGACGGACACGACTGAAGTGACTTAGCAGCAGCAGCAGCAGCTACTACATATGACATCACACCCACTACATATGACCTCACACACACAACATATGATATCTTATCTGCTACATATGACATTATGTCTAGTATAGCTATGATATCGCAATCATTGTTTTATCACACCCACTGTATTTATGACATCACACCCACATATTTATGACAAAACACCCACTATATAAGACATCACACCAACTATATGATACAAATCCACTCTATTTATGACATCACATCCACTGTATTTATGACAAAACATCCAATATATGTGACATCACACCAACTTTATCTATGATAAATTATCCACTGTATTTATGACATCGCACCCACTATATGACATGATCCACTATATGTGACATCACACACTGTGAATCTGTGATATCATATACACTATATCTATGACATCATACCCACCATATCTGACATCACATCCACTATATCTGTGACATTACAACCTACATATCTATGATCACACCCACAGTATCAATGACATCACATGCCCTATATGACATCGTATCCACTATATATGACATCACAACCATTATATGACATCACACACTCATTTTTGTGACAACACACTGACTATATTAGACATCACAGCCACTATATCTGTGACTTTTCACATCTATCATCTATGCTCAAACCCACTGTATCAATGGCATCACATTAACTGTATATGACATCATATGCACTATATATGGCATCACATCCACTGTATCTATGACATCACATCCAGTATCTTTATGGCATCACAACCACTTTTTATGATTTCACACCCACTATATTTGTGCCATTGCACCCACCATAACTATAATCACACCCTCTATATCTATGACATTTCACCGATTGTATTTATGACATTACAGAAACTCTATATCATATTACATCTACTCTCTCAAAAAATTGCAGAGGAAGGAACACTTCCAAATTCATTCTATAAGGTCACCATCACCCTGATAGCAAAATCAGACAAAGACAAGACTAAAAAAGACAAATACAGACCAATATCACTGATGAACATAGATTCAAAAATCTTCAACAAAATTTTAGCAAATAGAATTCAACAGCACATCAAAAAGCTCATACACAAAGAACAAGTTGGGTTTATTCCTGGGATGCAAGGATTCTTCAATATACATAAAGCATTAATGTGATACAGCACATTAACTAATGGAAAGATTAAAAAAAAGTGATCATCTCAATAGATGCATAAGAAGCCCTTGAAAGAATTCAGCACCCACTTATGATTAAAATTCTTCAAAAATGGGCATAAAGGGAACCTACCTCCACATAGTAAAGGCCATATATGATAAGCCTACAGCAAACATTATTCTCAATGGTGAAACACTGAAAGCTTTCCCCCTAATATCAGGAAAAAAGACAAGGGTGTCCACTTTCATCACTATTTTTCAAAATAGTTTTGGAAGCCCTAGCTACAGCAATCAGAGAAGAAAAATAAATCAGTGATAGATCAGAAAAGAAGAAATAAAACTGTTTGTAGATGACATGGTATTGTACAAAGAAAGCCCTAAAAATGCAATCAGAGAATTACTACAGCTAATCTGTGAACTTAGCAAAGTCACAGGATAGAAAATAAATACACAGAAATCACTTGCATTCCTATATACTAACAATGAAAAATCAGAATGAGAAATTAAGGAATCAATTCCATTCACCATTGCAACAAAAAGAATACAATATTCAGGAAAAACATACCTAAGGAGACAAAAGAACAGTATACAAAATCTATAAGCACTGATGAAACAAATCAAAGATGACACAAACAGATGGAGAGATATTCCATGTCCCTGAGTAGGAAGAATCAGTATTGTAAAAATGACTATCCTACCAAATGCAATCTACAGATTCATTACAAACCCTTTCAAATTGCAAATGGCATTTTTCACATCACAAAACAAAAAATTTCACAATTCATATGGAAACATGAAAGAGTCCAAATAGACAAAGCCATCTTGAGAAAGAATAATGGAGCTGAAGGAATCAACCTTCCTGACTTCAGATTATACTACAAAACTATAGTCATAAAGAAAGTATAGCACTGACACAAAAATGGAAATATAGACAAATGGAGCCTGAAAGAAAGCCCAGAAATAAAACCATACACTAATGGGTACCTTATTTTTAACAACAGAGGCAAGAATATGAGAAGGGGCAAGGACAGCCTCTTCAATAAGTGGTGGGAGGAAAACTGGATAGCTCCGTGTAAAAGAATGAAATTAGAATACTAATTCTAATCTAATTGCTAGATCTTATGGTGGTTTAATTCTTTTTTCTTTTTAAGATATCTCCATACTGTTGTCCATAACAACTGTAAATTGGCTGTACCTGTTTACATTCCCACTAACAGGGCAAGGGGGCTTCCCTCAGCTGGTAAAATATATACCCATGAGGTGGGAGACCTGGGTTCGAACCCTGGGTTTGGAGGATCCCCTGGGGAAGGGAAAGCCTACCCACTCCAGTATTCTGGTCTGGATAATCTCATGGACTGTATAGCCAAAGGGGTTGCAAAGAGTCAGAAATGACTGAGCGAATTTCACTTTAAAATAATACAAGAGTGTTTCCCTTTTCTCCACAGCTTCCCAAGCATTTACTGCTTGTAGATTTTTTCAGTGCTAGCCTGGTATTTGTTCATGCAAAACAAGTTGCTGAATGGACCACAGGCCAGGAGGTGCGGGCAGGTGCTGGAGGGTGCCCAGGTCAGCAGGGCCATGACTGAGTCCTGCATGCTGTACCCACAGTAGGAACTCACTGAGAGCCTTGGTCTCAAGCTGCAGGTGCTGCAGGAGGCACGAGAGCCTATTGGAGGATGTGCAGGCCAACAGTGCACTGGGTGATTAAGCGGAGGCCCTGGTCAAGGCAGTGTGCAAGCCCAATGAGTTTGAGAAGTTCCACATGTTCACTGGGGACCTCAACAAGGTGGTGAATCTCCTGCTGTCACTGTTGGGCCACTTGGGCTGCATGGAGAACACCCTCAACAACCTGGACAACAGCATACCTCTGGGTGATCTGGTACCCCCCACTAGGCAGCAGAGGTTGAGGCCCCACAGGGTGCAGAGTGAACACCTTGGAAGCCGTGCTGGGTCCACTGTCCACCTGGTCACGCAAGGTCTTCTTCTCTCTCGCTTTCTCCCTTCTCATAGTGGGGGACCACCACGAGGTTCCCTGCATTGTTCAGTGGCCTGGTCATGTCTGACTCTTTGGAACCCCATGGACTGCAGCACACTGGACTTCCCTGTCCATCACCAATTCTCGGAGTTTACCCAAACTCATGTCCATTGAGTTGGTGATGCCATCTAGCCATCACATCCTCTGTCATACCCTTCTCCTCCCACCTTCAATATTTCCCAGCATCAGGGTCTTTTCCAATGAGTCGGTTCTTTGTATCAGGTGGCCAAAACAGGCTAACAATTTTATGTGTTCAGACTCATGCCCTGAAAGGTAGTGGAGGTATAAGGATACTTCCCCAGCTTGTCACCAGGGAAGAAGCAGCTTTGGTTTTCAACCTCCCCCCACCCCCCCAACCCCCTTGCCAACTGAGCAGCAGCCCTGTGGTCTAGCCTCTCCTCGGGGGCCCTCCACCCCATGATGCCCTGATGGGGCTGGGGGGAGGCCATTCAGGTCACCAGGTTTCGGAGGAACAGGAGACTGGCTGACATTAGAAACTGGGCCAGAGGCCGGGGCTTTCCCATGCATCCACCAGCCGCCACTTGATGTTTGTTTAACGCTGTTCCTCCTTTCCTGTCTTGTTTTCACAGCAGGCTAAGTGAGGGCAGGGACAGTAGGTGTGTTCCCCGGTTTAGTAGTGGGAGCGTCTATATGCCCCAGAGTCAGGAGTCAGGGCAGCTATGCGACCAACCCCCTTCTCCTGCCGCTGTCTCCAACCTCCATCTCTCTTCTTCCAACCCTTTGTCCTCTTCACTGTCCGCCTCTCCTTTCACCAGAAGGGTTTAAAAATCCTTCCCTGGGAGATTTCTTTAAATGCACTGCTTTGGCCCACCTTTCCCCCATCAGCAGTGTTGTCAGGGAAAATCCTTGGGAGGACACAGCCTCCCCCCAGCCTCCCCTCCCCCGGAGTCTTTCTGCCTGGGCGAACCTCCCAGTTTTGGATGTTTCTGGGCGCTGATGGCTCTTGTGTTCTACAGGATGTATCTGGTTCTCATGTGGGGGTTGTATCCAAGGCGCCTCGCTGCACAGTCGGTGGGAGGCATTGGCCACGCCCGCCATGTCCTCAGCAGGCTTGTGCGTCTTCTGTTTGTCCAACAATCCCTGCTTGAGAAGCAGCGCATCCTGATCCAGCAGCACGAGGATGCCAGGGAGCTGAAAGAGAACCTGGACTGCCAGGAGGGCATAGTCTTCGACATCCTGGCCAGCTACCTGGGCCGTGGGAACCTGGTGGACTACGAGCACTTCTTCAAGATGAAGTTGGCACTCATCATGGAGCAGCGCAAGCTGTAAGACAAAATACACCTGGTTGAGGAGCAGCTGAAGTGCCTGTTGGACAGCCTTCAGCCTGAGGGAGGCAAATGAGAGAGCACCCACCTTCCCACCCTGCCCTCTGGGTAGGAGGAGGGAGATTAGGTTGGTGGAGCCAACAGCTCCAGTCCTGTGAATGCAGCTGAAAACCACAGCCTGCATTTACATTCTGTCTATGTGGAGTGGGTGAGGGGGGTAGTCCTCTCAAGGCCAGGTGGCGGTCAGCAAAGCAATAACTTCTGTATGTGCGTTTGGGATGAGTTCTTTAATTCTTAGATTCCCTTTTGGAATGCTGAGTAGAAAGGCCCCCCCCAGTCGCCCCCCGCAGCTGTAGCCCAGAAGAGTCTCCATGTGGCACTGGGGCTCGGTTGCGTTTTGAGCACGTGTGGACCGGGGTCACCCACGTGGTCTCTATCTGCTCAGTGTGCAGGCACTGAACCCCGTCCTCCATGAGGGAAGGAACCAGCGTGTCTCTAAGAAGGTGCATGTGGGTTGGGTTGCAAGGGGCTGGGGGTTGCCTGGCGCACGCACGGGTTGTCCTGTGGATCGCGGAGGCGCCGGATGGCAGTGTTCTCCCGTGCATCCGGAGGTGTTGTGCCCTTCATTGTATCTATACTATAAGGATTACTCCTGACCCAGTAAAAAATCATGAGGATAAGCATTATGTGTTAGAAAGGAGAATAGTTGTCTGTGCGGTTTAAAGAGCAGCTGTGAAATGACCTTTGGCATGCTGGACTTACTCATGGTGAAATCACCACTTGAAGAGTGTGCATGCTTTAAGACGCATGCAGAAGGGACATACTGGCTTTTGTTCTTCTTTTGTTCTAGCATTTGACACCAATGTACAAATGCTATTTTTCCTGCAAAGTGAGATTACCTGGCTGAAACTGTGTCCTGAAGTTATGTGCTTGTGAGGTTTTGTTTGTTTTTATTTTTTTCTTTCTTAAGGCCCCTGAAGTATTTTCCTCATTTTTCCTCCCCCCACCCCAAGAACACTTCTTTGGTGTGTATATGATCATAGATTATAATTGGCAGGTCCTTTCATGTTGCTTCTCTGGATTACTTATGGCAGTGTCAGAGTCATATTTCCTCAAAGAACCGGTGGCTCTGGCTTTCCAGAGGTACCGGTGGACCACACAACTCCTAGATCTTGTCTTTCTCCACCAAAGAGTTGACCACTGTCTGTTCCATGTTTTATTGTTTGATATTGCAAGGTAGTCAAGAGAGTCTATTCACTAAAGAAAACACTGTTGAGCTGTTGTTTTCCAGTGGGTGAGTCATGACTAGCAGAAGATAACTTGTAGATCCCGTGTGTGGCAAATGATTTACATACAGAATGTATAAAGAACTTTCCAAGTTCACATTATGAGAACAGTCAGCCCAGTTAAAACATGAGCCACTGACTTAAATAGACACTTCATCAAAGAGTCTATGTGCATGTCAATAAGCACAATAGGTGTTCAGCCCCTCTTGGCTTGGTTCTCATGACCTGATTTTTAACCTGATGGTTTGTGTTTCATCCCAGTTGGGTGAGATGCCTGGATAATGGCAGGAGAAGCCCTAAGATAACTTCATGTCAGGGTGATATACGGAGGTCAGATGACGTTTCTCCTTGTTTCTTCTTATGCCCGTGAAAAGAGTTTTCCAGCAGTGGGGAGACAGCCCTTTGTCACCAGTGACTGGCACCTTTCCAAAGACAGAAGCATGCAATGTCTTATTAAAGGACACTACTCCACACCCACTGAACAAGAAGGACAAGCTGAACTTGCTGCGGTGATATCTCTGCAGTCCTGGAGGGAACCGATCTCGTAGGTTTCAATGTTGCTGGCAATAAACACTCCTTTGGCAGCCCACACAAGCCAAAGATAGTCTTTTTTTTTTTTTTTTGCACTTTTTATTCTTCTTTAATTAAGCTGTTCCTGACTTGAAAAATCCCTCTTCTGCCAGTGAAACATCATCCTCTCCACGTGCTCTGGTCACTTGCTGTGAAAATGGGTCATGGCAGAAAAGATAAAGCCGGCTGTCCACGGACCCCCTGCCCCACCTTCCTCCTTTGAGGAGACAACCACAGTGATGTCAGTGTGTTTTGATTTTGACAAAGCTTTTATCTGTGATTCTTGCCCTTCTCATACAGTATTGTGATCATTTTGATGATATATCTGTAAAATGCAAAAATAGAGTTTGTGCCTGTATCCAGCTTTTCGATGTTTTTTGAGAACCTTGTCTTCTACACAACAATACACAGGGCTCTGATGTCCTTTAAATGAAGCACATAGAATCACAATGGTCCTGTCTATTTCCCCATCTGCCTCATAAATGTCTGGTTGGCGGGGACACAAAGCTTGCAGTGAGTCAGTGTGCACAACTTTGTATATAGCTATATTACTGCCTATACAAAAAATCTGGTGCTAATGTTTCTCCTGTGGCATTCCTGTGTGGTGGCTGATTGCTCACCCTAGATCATTGCTTAGCTAAGAAGTGGTCTCTATATTTTGAGTTTGCAGTCAGGGGCCTTGCCTGAGACTTTGATCATGCCTCCCACCATGGAAGATGTGAACTGATTTCAGGCTCAGCACTTAACACTTACCTATCAATAGGTCATCCTGCTTGGCCTTAATAAAATAAATGGTGTCTTTCAGTAAATGGAGCATCTTTGTTTTGCATCCTTTTTAGGAATTGGAACGTTCTTCCCATATGTCAGATTCTTCATCCACTGATAAATCATGGGATTAAATCTGTGTATGCAGGTGTTTAATTGTTTCTGCCTGTCTAGTTCAGGCCAGTTAGTTTGCAGCCTGGAAACATCAGGGACACAGGTTGTATAAGTCAATTGTTGCCACAGCCATGCTGTGTGACAACCACTATAAAATCATGCAGAGTACAGGGAGAGTATCCTTTAGAGTAGGAATTTGTAGATCATTCTGTTCTATGTGCTTGTCATCTGCCTCCCAGGTCCAGGCCTTTGGCCTGGGCACATCCATGGCACATGATTGGAGAACAAGCCCAGTCACAATGCTGCCTGTCCTGTTTGTGGTTATGACACACCTGCTAAACTTGCATTGCTGAAGCAAGTTCTGCAGCCCAACTCGGAATGCAGAAGGTGTGACATGTTCTCCACCCCGTGACTGCAGGGAGCTGTGAAACACTGGGGCCACTGATGGAGCCCCACTATCTCCCATGCCAGGTGCTGATATGGAGTAGCATCCTACAGTCCAGGACCTAAAGTTAAGTTCCTGGAGCAAAGCCACCTTTCTCACTTGAAGGTCATATGTCTGCGAGCAGGCACCCATCAGTTTTCTCCTTTGTAGCTGTTAGGAGAGCAAGTGAGCTAACATCAATTAGCTTGGAACCCATGCCAGGTCAGAAAAGTGCCATATGGAGGGAGGCATTCACACTTCTGGTGCTGTCACTGCAGCCTCAGTCTGAAGGAAAAGTCTTCTCTGCACCTTGATGCCCCTGTCAGAACCACCAGAGGACAGATGGCAGTTGCTCCCAGAGGACAGCTGCACTGGAGGATTGATGGAAGCAGATAAACACTTCTGTTTTCAGAGAAGATTGATGAGACCTGGAGGGTAACGAGTTGACACAGAGGGAGTCTTCCTTCTTTTTAAAAATAATTTTGTTTGTTGAATTTTGGCTGTTCTGGGTCTTCCTTGCTGCTTGGGCTTTTCTCTAGACATGCTGTGTGGGTTTCTCACATGTGGGCCTTACTAGTTGTGGTATGTGGGCTTAGTTGCTCTGCAGCAGGTGGCGTCTTCCTGGATCAGGGGTCGAGGTCTTTGTCTCCTGTATCGGTGGATTCTTTACCACTGAGCAACCAGGGAAGCCTGGGAGAGTGTTCTTAGTAAGAACTACTCAAATGTAGGAGATGTATTTTTATTTGAGATGGGGAAAAAACATTGTCACAAACTTAGGGACTTTAAGAAGTACACAAAGGCTACATACATTATTATTATTATTTTGACTTCTACAGGGCCACTCTTGCTTGTCTTGTGAGGGATTCATCCATGAGGACAATGGAGGTGCAGTTGTAGGTTGGGGTGGTGGGGGTGTGGCTGTAGGAGCCAGTGGTCCTCATGCCATGCTCTGAGACCCATGGACTGAGATCCTCAGACTTCTGTTTCTTCAGGGCAGAATCAGTCTTAGGCACGGGGGCATGGGAAATGCTGTCTGCATCCTCACACCTGTTGGCTTGACCACTGCAGGGCCACCACTCCCTGCAAGTCCAGGCATTCTGGGGCTGGGGGTGAGGGGGTGGTGGGGGCTGGGCCACGGTGGGAAGAGAACCCAGCATAGCCTTGGAAGAAGTCTGAATAAGGTGTGTAGATCACCATGTGGTCAATGTGAAGTTCTTTTTACCTTTACTGAAGTATACTTGATTTACAACAAAGTACTAATTTCTTCTGTACAACAAAATGACTCAGTTATATATAAACACATACTTTTTTTCATATTCTTTACCATTATGTTTTGTTACAGGATACTAAGTATAGCTTCCTGTGCTACATAGTAGGGTCATCTTGTTTATCCATCCTAAATATAGGTGTATGCTAGTTCAGCTTAGTTCAGTCACTCAAGTTGTGACCAACTCTTTGTGACCCCATGGACTATAGCACACCAGGCCTCTCTGTCCATCACTAGCTCCCAGAGTTTACCCAAACTGATGTCCACTGAGTCTGTGGTGCCATCCAACCATCTGATCATGTTGTCCCCTTCTTCTCCTGCCTTCAATCTTTCCCAGCATCAGGTCTTCTCAAATGAGTCAGTTCTTTGCATCAGGTGGCCAAAGTATTGGAGTTTCAGCTTCAGCATCAATCCTTCCGGATAATACTCAGGACTGATTTCCTTTAAGATGCACTGGTTGGATATCCTTGCAGTCCAAGGGACACTCAAGGGTCTTCTCCAATATCACAGTTCAAAAGCATCAATTCTTCAGAGCTCAGCTTTCTCTATAGTCCAACTCTCACGTCATGTATGGTTCT